CTGAGGGAGTACGCCTACTTACCCCCTCTCTCTATATATATATTTATCATTGTATCTCTCTGTCTCTCTCTGTGTGTTTGTCTGTCTGTATGTCTCTCTCTCTCTCTGTCTCTCTCTTTCTTTCTGTCTGTCTGTCTCTCTCTCTCTCTCTCTCTCTCTTTCTCTCTCTCACTTTTAGTCCCTCTTCTCACTCACTGTTAGTGGGTGGTTGGCGGGTGCTCTTGTATGATCTGCTGCTTCTTTTCTATCAAACATCTGTCTGTCTTATCTCCCTTCCTTCTTTTTTGTGTATGTTACTCTCTTGTAACACCTCTAATCTTTGGCACTTATGTGACCTAATTATTTGCACGTGCAGTAAAATTCTTGTAAAATCTTTTTAAAAACTCAGCGTTAGCCTCTCTCATCATTTGCTTATTGTCTCTTTTTACCTTTGATGTGTGTTATAGTGTAAGGCCATTATTGTGTTGAATGTCCCAGTAGCTGCTGTAACTGTGCTGTGCAGGTGACCCTAGTTCGATTCCTCAACGGAACGGTTTAGAGATCAGGTTTTTTTCGAGAGTGTGGGTGGTTGGCTGGTGTTCTGGTGTGGTTGTGGTTTGCTCCTTCTGTCCTATCAAACATCTATCATCCTTATCTCCCCTCCTTCTTTTTTGTGTTTGTTACTCTCTTGTAACACCTCTAATCTTTGGCACTTGTGTGACCTAATTACCTTGCAAGTGCAGTAAAATTCTTGTAAAATCTATTTTAAAAACTCAGCGTTAGCCTCTCTCATTACTTGGTTATTGTCTCTTTTTACCTTTGATCTGTGTTATAGTGTAACAGTGCCTACTGGAAGGCCTTTATTGTGTTGAATGGCCCAGTAGCTGCTGTAACTGTGCTGTGCTGGTGACCCGAGTTCGATTCCTCAACGGATCGTTTTAGAGATCAGGTTGTTTCGGAAGTTCTCATTACCGACTTGGCTCGACCTATCGGAGATGAGCGTTGTGGGTGGTTGGCGGGTGCTATGGTGTGGTGTGCTTCTTCTTTCCTTTCAAACATCTGTCGTCCTTATCTCCCCTCCTTTTTTGTGTATGTTACTCTATTGCAACACGTAATCTATAGTATTCTTCGGCACTAATATGACCTTATTGTGTTACAAGTGCCGTAACATTCTTACTAAAACTGACATAGGTCATCGGTATTTTTCAACATTTTATCCTGTCCTTTAATCCAAAATAAATAAAAAGAGCTTTGAGACAGTTGTCTTCTGATGGTAAATACAACATTGGTTGAGTTTTCACAAGAGGTTCCATGGTCGAAAACTTTACTTATGATTAATTTTGAGTTCAGTCAGATACATAGTTACCTCCCTTTTGGTGTGAAACTTGGCAAGTTCTCTGCTGGAAAAATGCTAGTCATGGAAAAAGAAAGAAAAGAGGACACGATATTTACGGGAAAGCAAGGCATGTCCTTCTGAAAGATAGCATAGGGAAAAGGTACCCCTTGATTTGCAAGGTGTTACTTTGTAGACATTTCCCCTTATTTCATTTTGTTTGAGCGCTAAACGAAACGGGCACCATTTAAAAATTGTCTCCACAGTGTGTCAGGCCGTGGTGAACAGAGCCCTGCTCTGGTGGTGAAATAGCACTCGTGAGCGTTTAGGCTTTGATGTGTGTGTAGGAAACGATTCACTCTGATGTACTTTCTCTGCTGTTCCCTTTTCCTCCTTTCCGTTTTAATCTTAACCGGCCTTGCCATTAGGCAAAGTGATTTGTCTTTTAATTTAATGATTGAGAAACAACTAAATAATTGTAACCAAACGAAGCTCAGGAAATATTTGTTGCCCACTTTTCAAGATATTTATTGAGTAGATGATCTAAGATAATTGCTTTTTTGCGTTTCCACTTTCACGAAGACATTGTTTGTTGCGAAGGACACTGGACGTGTTGATAAAAGGAGGGTGCCAGTTGGAGGTCCTACTTCTTTTCTTTCCATCTCTTGTTTCTGTCCGTCTGTCTTGCTTTTCCCTCCACTTTATGACCATTTTTGGGGTTTTTCCGATTTGCTCTTCTTTGCGCGAAGAGTGGGTGGTTGGGGGGTGCCATTCGTAAGTCCTACTGCTTTAATTTCGATCTAGTGTTTTTGCTGGTCTTGCTTTTTTTCCCCGGCACTTTGTATGGCAGTTATTGTGTCAATGTGCTCAAAGTTAATCCCGCAAGGATGTCACAGACACATATATCTGATCAGAAGACCACAAAAAATTGTGCAGCATATGTGGCAGCGTCATACACCAATTTGAAACAGGAGTTCACATATTTCGCAGAAGGTACGTTGCTGCCTGTTTTTTCGGAGGGTTACATGAAAGTAAAACGGAATTGAAAAAATCTGTACTGTTAATGGGAAGTTCTGCTGCTTCTTCTAAGAGGACCGAAACCGCACGTCGTGTGACCTGACCAGAACGTGCGCGTCTTCCGTGAGGGAAAAAAGTCGACACAGTGATGAAAGCCGCACACTTTGCTGCTGTTGCCTCAGAGAGCGGCCCGTGGGGGGTCGCCGGGGACTATCTGGAGCACTCGTCGTTGATGGCCGTGAGGAGCGGGTACTTTCCGGCTCCGCAGTAGGCGTTGTTGAAGTCGTCCAGGTCCAGAGCCCACACCATGGCGCCGCCGTAGCCGTTGTCGCGGACGTAGCGCACCTTCTCTCGAAGACTCTTTGGGTTGTCGTAGCCTAACCACTGGTCACCGTACACCTATGGGGAGGGGAAGGACGGGGGGAGGGTTACGGAGGTGCTTCGAACTTATGTCTTCTGCATTGATCGGCATGATGTCACCAGTTTTATACGAGAATTAAAAACATAAACAGTTTTGTCGAAGAAAAAGAAATGTCCCCCAGTTTTCCCACTTTAGTCAAAGAAAAAAAAACATGGCCACTAGTTTTGTACAAGAAATGTCCCCTGTTTTGACCCAAAAAAATGATGCCAGTCTTGTCGAAGAAATGTCCCCAGTTTAGTCAAAGAATTGTCTCCAGTTCTCTAAAAGAAAAAGTAATGTCCCCATTGATGTCAAAGAAATGTCTCCAGTTTAGTCCACGTAATGTCCCCAGCGATGTCAAAGAAATGTCACCTGTAATGTCAAAGAAATGTCCCCTGTTTAGTCAAAGAAAATGTCTCCCCAGCGATGTCAAAGAAAATGTCTCCCCAGCGATGTCAAAGAAATGTCCCAAGTATTGTCAAAGAAACGTCCCCTGTGATGTCAAAGAAATGTCCAAAGTTTCGTTTTTGCTTTTTTTTTTTTTTATATGTGACCCACCAAGTAGGGCACGCGCTGGTCCTCCAGGAAATAGACGTCGGCGCCGTTGTTGATCATCTGGCAGGCCTCGTAGTAGCTGGCGTAGCCGGCCTCGCCTGTGTAGGGACCTTTGGCACCCGGTGAGGCGGGGGCTCCCACCCCGGTGTTCCCGGTGGTCAGTGTGAAGGAGCGGCCGTACAGGGGCATGCCGATCACTAGCTTGTGCTTGG